ATTAAATATACTGAGGTTACTCTGGAACAAGGAAGAGCTTTATCAGATGAGGTGCCAAGAAAAAAAAAATGGACAGCTCTGATCCTAGAGTTGTAGTCACAGTGACTTACCCAACACTCTGTGGAACACTAATGGGCAGTGTCTTGTCCAGTCTATCTTAATAGTTCTGGTTTTCTCAAATGGACTTTATCAACATCGAAATTCTACAGTATCTTTAAGAACGTGGGTTGGTTTTTTTTTGGTTTTTTGTTTTTTTGTGGGAAGAGATGCAGAAACCCACAACAAAACATTAGGAAATGCTCATGGGATTCTGTGGAAGAATGGACAGAAGGATTTTAAGATACAGAGGGTTTGAGGACACCAAAAAAAAAAAAAACAAAAAAACACCTCACAGAATCTGCCATTTTAGCCTCATGGCATTCATAGCATTCACAGAATGGCAACCAAAACCAGGGAGCCTGCACAGTACTGACCAAACCAAAGCCCTCTGTATATATATATATATATATATATTAATTACAGTTGTGTAGTTTGGTCGTCTTGTAGGGACTATCTCTTACTTTTTTCTGGCTTTTGTGATCCTAATCCTCATATTGGGCTGCCTTAAAACAAGAGGAAGTACGTAACCTTAATGCAACTTGAAATGCCCTGTTTTTTTGATATCCATACCAAAATTGCCCTTTTCTGAAAAGAAATGGAGTGGATGGTAGGGCAGAGGGGAGGTGGGGGGATGGATGTCAAGGAGAGGATGAAGGGGAATCTGAAGTCGAGTTCTTAATAATGATAATATTAATATTAATGTTAATATTAATATTAAAAAAGGAACATTGTCTTTTCTAGAAATCAAGAACCAGGGAAGATTCTGAAATGGGAGACAGAATGATTTTAAGAGGCAGAAGATCAGAAAGAATGCTATGAGACTGTGCTATCTGGTGATTATGAGCAACTACACAAATAAAATATCAAGAATATCGTTCCCTAAACAAGACCTGAAAAATTCAAAAACAAGTCAATTTGAGTATAGAGAGGGAAATTTCAAATGGTAGATCAAGAGCTTTTGACAACTATCATTTATAGATGGGGATAAATGGCTTTCCCAGGGATGAGCCCCCTGTATGATGATCCAAGGAGTGGTCAGTCCTGGAAGCAGACATATTCATCAAATACTATTGGTTGTTTATTCATATACATGCATATGTATAAGTCTTTTATATGTATAAAAGAGGGGATCTGATGAGGGAGTGATAAAAAGAAGAGAGGAGTAATACAGAGATAAAATTACATATTAATTGAATTAGGAAAAATGTAAAATCCAACAAGGTTTATAATGTGAGCATTTGTATTTAAATATGTGTGAAAAATACATCCACACATCACCTTTTTAATCATCCTTAGGAGTATAATATTCAAATGAGTCTTTTAATATCAACAAATGAATAAGAACATGACTTATATTAATGTTGAAAGTTATGTATTTGATACTCCATGAATGATGTGTTTATATAGCTTTGTTGTTATCATTTTCACCAAACACTTAAATGTGCCTATTATTATTACATGAAAAAGTTTATTGAGGTTTGTTGAATTTGCTCATTTAATAAAACTTTACACAAATAAAGAAAACAGATAACTTTGTACCAGATTACATTAATGAGAACCAATAAAGCAATCATTTATAGCTTGGGACACAGTATATAATGACATGGTACAGAGTCGATTGACTGGTTGATTCTTACAGGAAGACTCTATAGAAGGGATCTTCTCAGTTTTGGTTGTATACCAAATCTGTCTTCTGATATTTAAGAGCTGAGAGCCGGCACAGGAACAGTAAATAAAGCCATCTGAGGTGAATTTCTAGAATTGTGTTCTGGAACCTTAGAAGATTCCCCTGCAGTAGTGACTGGAGATAGAGAGGGCACAGAAGATGCTTAAGAGCTAAAGAAATCCAAATGTACTAAGGCTGATAGGGTATAAAGGTATATATGATAGGGTAATCATTTGTTGGGAAAAAAACAAAGGACCCCTAGATACAACATGAGGCTGGGAAGCTGATGGAAAAGCAGATTTTCTCCAGGTAGTATGCTGATTACATCAGCAAGAACACACTGCCTGAGAGACTTGTCATAAACCGAAAATAAGGAAGAGCAAGGCTCTCTGGTAGCATGGTTGGAATCTACCCCAAAGGCATAAAGGAGACAGCTGAGTTGAGATAGTAGCCGACAGGAATACAAATCCACTAAAGGACTGTTTGAATTGGTCTTAACTTTAAATTGTAATAGAAAGAGACATAATTTTTGTTTGTTGAGTGAGAAACCATGCATCTGTGTCAAGTATGTTGGACGGAAAAGCAGATAAGGAGAGTGTTAGCTTTGCTGTGTTGAGAAAATAAGGATACTAACCTGTCAAGGTAGTTACAGGATGGTTCCAGAAAAAGGTAATATTTAATGAAAAAGGATTTCTTAATATGTGGAAGACTTGAAGGAAGTTTTTACACAAGTTCCAACTTAGATACTTAGTTGAATATATTAATATTGACAGCGATACAAATATTAATGGTATTGATGGATATCACTAGTCATTACTCACAGTTTCTTGGCATTGTATACAGTTCATCTATAAAAGGGTATTGTAGTATATTTTGACCAATTCATACAGTTTGAGATCCTAAAATTAATCTCTAAGATAAATACACAACATTGAATTCCCACAACATTATTTCTGTATTTAAATAGCGTAGTTTTCTTTTTCTTTTCTTTTTTTAGTGCAGAAAGTACAGATAGGAGAATGATTAGCTCCTGAGCCATGACAGTTAACTGTTTGGTATTTATACTACATCTCCCAATTAACTTAAGTGGATCATTCCACATAATATTTTGGATATATGTGGTATTAACTATTTCCATCAAATACTTAGTTACAAATACATTTCCCTATATAAATATATATGTAATGTTTGTTTATTTGCATTATATATGCATATTTTACACATCATTAGAAATTGCAACAAACCATAACATGATTGACCCTTTTCTACTTAGTGAAGACTTTTGTTATAATTTGTGATACCTTGTTTATTTTTTTATTCTAAATTAAGGACAGTAATGTTGAGCATACCATTTGTAAGATATAATTTTAAAGTGCTTATAAAGTAATTTATATATATTTAGGAATAGATAATAGTAAAAAATTGTTCTGTTCTTCTTAGTATCTAAGTCTATGCACAATTCTAAGAAATGAGAAAATATTCAAGTAGTTTTGTTTGGCTATAATGATTTGCTATGGTCCAAACCTTGCAATTAATTGGGTCTGGAAACCCAGAGACACTCTCCTGCTTTAGGACAGTGCCACTATTTATGATCATTTTTGCTTTCTTTATTTCTTTAATATTAATTTCTAATTAGAGGCTTCCTAATGGTAGGCGGCCAATGCTGATTTGTAAATGAAGTTATATATCACTTAGCAGCCTCTAAACCTTTTAGCTCCTCTATTGATATTTTAATCACGAAATTCAAGCATCCACAATGAGCAGATGAGCTCATGGAAATGGTAACCAGCGTTTTCCTTGGTATGTAAATCAATAAAAATGTTGTGATGCCTTTCAGTTCAATGATCTATGTACTGGAAACAAATGGCTTTTAAAATGTATTTGATATATGTATCAATTTCAACAACTCTATTGTTGCCTACATTTTAAAGTTAATTCACTTGTTATAGTTTATATACACACATTCATTAACATCAAACCTAATTTATAGTAAAAATTGCAAATATCAATAGACTTCAAAGAGAGTTTTCATATATGATACATTTAATCATACAATCAAGTTAAATATAATCATTTTATTCATCTCAAATGTTTCTCATTTCTATATTGTAAAAATTTAATAGAAGTTTCTTCTAGTTTTTGAAATCTGAAGCACATTATTTTATCATGGTAACCTCATTCTGCAATAGTGCACCAAAATTTCTTGTCCCTGTACAAGTGAAACTCAGTAAGCATTGATCAAGATTCATCCTCTCTCACTACATCCCCAGATCTCTTGTAAACACTCTTAAACCTTCAGTTTCAATGAGGATGATTAGTTGTGATCACATATACTTGTGTGATCATTTGGTGTTTTTCTCTCTTCGGGTGGCTTATTCCACTTAAGACAAAGAACTCGAAGACTTATATGTTACTTCTAACACAAGTATTCCAATATTTCTCATAGGTTTGTTGTATCACACTGTGTTTATGTACTAGATTTTTTTTCATTCATTGGCTAATGGTTACTTAGCATCTTTCCAATTTGTGGCTCATGGCAGTAGGGCTTTCTTAACCCCACCGTGTGGATGTCTCTTCAACATTTTCGTTGCTTTTACATGGTTACCAACTCACAGTAGACTTACAAGATCACAGTATTCCATTATATTTGCACTTAAAAAATTAAATTTTGTATAATTATCACATGTATTCACTCATAAGTGGTTTTTAAACATAAAGCAAAGAAAACCAGCCTACAAATCATAATCCCAGAGAACTTAGACAACAATGAGGAAATTAAGAGAGACTTACATAGATCTAATTTACATGGGAAGTAGAATAAACAAGATCCTCTGATTAAATTGGGAGCATGGGGACCTGGGGGGGGGCGTTGAAGGCCAGAGGGGAGAGGCAGGGAGGGGAGCAGAGAAAAATGTAGAGCTCAATAAAAATAATTCTAAATAAATAAATAAATAAGTTTATTTTGGATTGTTGCCATGAAATAATATTAGCATTATTGCCAGTAGCTTAAAGGGTTCTCCTCTTTTTGTTTTTGCTGCCTTTGTTCAGTATTTAAGATAATACAATTCTTGGTGAGTTGAGGGTTATCCATTGTCACTTGGACTTGAAACTGCCCAATATTTTGATTATATTGCTTAAGTAATTGTTGGGGAGAAAATGTACTCAAAACATTCATATAACAGTCAAGTATGCCTTTTATCTATGTCTCGGAAAATGACACAATGTTACTTTGCAGGTGCCTATGTGCTCCAGGTCAAGGCCACAGATGCGGATGACCCCACTTATGGAAACAGCGCCAGAGTCGTTTACAGCATTCTTCAGGGCCAACCTTACTTCTCTATTGATCCCAAGACAGGTAATGCTTTAATTTGGCACAACATTATCACCCCTCACTCAAAGAATTCAACTTTCATTAAATTTTGGAATCAAATATTGTCTATTTCAGTGCAGTCACATAAAATCAGTGAGCCATCATTTGACAAAAGAGATACCAACTTATATGATTGCTGGAGATATATTTTCTTTTACTGAGTAAATACTTAAATATTTCCCAAGCTTTGTGTAAATATAAATGTTCGCATGTCTATTTAAGAGGTCCAAAGTTGTTAGCTAGGAGTTATTTACCTTTTTTAAAAAAGATCTCATGTCTAATCTTTTATTCATCAGTCTAAAATCATATTTTCTTTATTGTTGCATGGCAGATTTCTAGGTTGTGTTCAATTTTATTGTTTAACCATGACTCAGAAGCATCTGAACTTTCTTTTGCTATCTGCAGAAGTATTATAGAGGGTTGCTTTTGAGAAATATGTTACATATACTTGCTGTGAGGAAAACTGAACACTTGGGAACCTAATAAACCAAAATCATTAATTCTCTTAGAAATGTTCTTTATAGGTAGGCCCATTACTTTAATGTTTTCTATTTATTTGGTTGGTAGGTTCTATTTTTTTCTGTTTTGAACAAGTCTATAAATGAATATCAAATTTCAAAACTAGCCAAAATATACATAGCATAATAAGTGCTTGGGTGTACACACATGGTCAATTTTATGTTTTCTTTTTTATTCAGTCCTTCTCTCTTTTCAACTTGTGGCAAGAGAGATCAGTCCTGAGGCCTGTATTTAGTAAGCCAGTATTCACAATTGAGCCAGGGCTCTAGGTTTGAATGATATGAAGTTTCTTTTCAAACTATCTGATTATAAATTCTGAGTTTCATTAAGGAATCAGCTACTCTGACCAGTGAACAAACAAGGCATCACATATCACAATTAAAGAGGAACTTCAGAATTCCACTTATTAAAAGAATTATTAATTATAGGTTAAAATAGATTTCAATATAAATATGGTAAATTAGTATAATATAAAAATTGTAAACAAAATAGAAGAAATATATTCAAATTAAAATAAAATGTTTTTGATTTTCTGAGATTGTAATATAAGTACATTCTCCAATCCCTTTCTTTCCCTTCAAATCATCTCATATACTTTTTTTCATTTTTTTAAATTCATTGCTTCCTTTTTACTACTTATTATTTTATGCATATGAAAATTCATGAATTAATATGCCTTCATAAATATAATCAAGTAGTCCATATATGGTTATATTGTTACTTGAATTTATGTTTGTGACTGATCATTTGAGATTGGGCAACCAAGATGTACTCTTCTTTTTGGAAAAACGCCTTTCTTTTACCTTTCCCCAATTCTTCCTGAAAGTTGAGAACCCTTGGGCTTTTTCCTATCCATTTTGCCATTTGCATTGGTATCATCCTTTTTCAAATGGAAAATTTAAATTTACATCTTCAAGTAAATTCATTGTATTTGACCTTATTTGCTTTGAAAATTTCATACACACATACAATATGCTTTTATCAATTTTATACATGAAAAATCTCAAAGAAGAAAAGTCTCAAATTTTTGAATAAATATTTTTAGGATACTGTATTTTATTTGGTATGTAGGGTGTGTGTGTGTGTGTGTGTGTGTGTGTGTTTATGCATGCTCATACCACAGTAGTATATGTGTCAAAATCAGTGAATGGTTTGTGGGAATAAGTTGGTTCTCTTCTTCCAAACTGTGATGCTCAGGGATTACACTGAAGCCATCAGACTTGACAGCCCGCAGTTTTCTCCTCTAAGTCTCCTCCCTAGTCCACTTTAAGAAATGTGTTAAGAAAGAGTTTTTAACTGAAGAAGAACTAGAAAGGGTGACTCTCTTTCAGTTGGACAGAGTGTCAGAAATGAAAAGCAAGAATTCCAATTATTTAAAAGATTGTGGGCTGTGGAGATAATGATTACAATTTATTTACCCAAGAACTATGAAAGAAAATTGGGAAAGACATACAGGAATATTGTTTGACCAGTTACTGAAGTTTTACTAGAGAAAATCACACATATTTGCAGACAAAAAAAAAATGAAAAGTTGAAGAGGTAAATGATTCAGGAAGTTCTTTTGCAAATGTAAAGTTGACAAAGTTTCTCAGAAATGGAATAATAGGTAGAATATACAGCTTGGCTATAAAGCAAACTTGAATGACCCTTTCCTGTCTTCTCGTGGAGGCCCAATCTGTTCCTTCTTATAGATTTCCCTTAATGAAAACCGTGACTACAAATGAAAGCACTGATCTTATCAGTTGCTTAACCTCTTTTAGTTCCTAAGGAACACCTGCAGAGACACAAAGACAAGCAGAAAGTAAACTTGGTGCTTGTAGTGGTTGGTGGAGCAGGAGAGCCCAGAAACTCAGAGTTGTGGTGACAAATTCTACAGAGTGGGTGACTTACACAAACTCAAAATGTGTTTCCAGGCCAGGAAAGACTGAAATCTAATAAAGAAAGAATCGTAGATGAGATGGATGGAAGTATCATCTGAATAAAAAAAATATAGGAAAACATAAATTTTAGTACAGTAAATAAGCTAAAATGATTGTTAGAAAATAAAACCACATATAAAATTATGTGAATAAATCTAAAATTCTATGTACTTTGTAAGAATGGTAGATAAATCCTTATGTTTATGAAAAGTATTATTTTGTAGTTGAAAATGTATATGCTTCATAACTACATAATCTTGCATTTATAATTTCATATGAACTTTGGTATTTAGAGATAAAGGTGAATCTCTTCTAAGCATCAGCAGCATAATAAATTTCAGAAGCATTGATTTTCATCGGAGACAGAAGTCTGCTGTAACAATGCCGCAGACCACTAGACAGGAAAAGAATGGGTTAGGAGGCACTTCGTTAAGAGAATGAAAACAAGTCCTTCATGCACAAAAACCAGAAAGACGACTTTGTCAAATTTATCACCTTGTGGTAGATAAAAGAAAATCAAAAATCAAGTATAATTGCAATTTCTCAGAAACAGCCTCCATTTGTTCCAGCTATCTAGCTTCCTTTTCTGATTCAGTTTGCTGTTATTAAATAAAATACATGGAAACCAAAACTTTCTAACATTTTCCTATTTGAATGTAGAAACCATTTAAAACAATTATTAATGGAAGAACCTCATAAAAACTTTTGGTGCTTATACATTTAGAAAAAGATTCAGTTGAAAAGAGAATATGTAAGTGATTTCTGTATTAGTATTACAGTTTGATGTAATAAACTCTACTCTACTCTACTTTCACAGTGGATTATAGCAAACTATACACACACACACACACACACACACACACACACACACACACATATATATATATATATATATATATATATATATATACCCTAAGGTAAAATGAGGAGCCTGTGAAATAAACCAAGAAAAAAATACACATCTTATAAAAGAGCTCTTATTTCCAATTATTTGCTTTAACCAAAACGTAATTTACTCCGTATATATTCATTTTGTTTCCTTAAACAATTACTCAGTAGAATTTTAAAATAAGAAGGTAGGTGAATTTTTAAAATATCATAAAATTATATATTATATTTTATGGTTATGTGATAGTAAATGTTATATTTAACTGTTGGTTTAGTTTAATTCATGTTTCTTTGACAAAATACTTTGACCAAAACCAACTCTAGAGGATTTATTTCTTTACACTTCCAGATTATAGTCCATTAATGTGAGCAAGCCATGATATGCACCAAAAGCATTATATCCACATTCACAAAGAGAGAAAAAATGCATATATCCTTGCTTAATTTTTGTCACATGATGCTCAGGTAGCCTTCTTTGCTTTTACAAACTTCAAGTCATGCCATATGGAATGGAGCTCTCCATAGTGATCCCTGTCAGTTAATAGTCAAGCCAAAGCATCAGAGACATGCCCACACGGCAGGTTATGGAAATAATTCCTGATCTAGAGTTTCTTCTTGGGTGACTCTATATTGTCAAGAGGCCATATAAAACATGACATCATACATGTATCATCTCAAAATATAGAAAGAAAAATCATAGTCTGGAAAAATGCACAGCAATAATAGTACATTCATTCTGTGACACTGATATCAGAACGCTGTGTCTCCAATCCCATGAAGCAATCTTCCACTTGGGAAAGCCAATGTTATTGTGAATAGTTGACTCTGGTGTCTTAATGTTTGTATAAAATTCTTGTAATTTTTTTTGCACAATCAGTCTAATTTAGATGACTAGAGATCACTGTGTTGTGTCCTGTGGATATTTATTTTTTAAATAAACGAGGTGCACCTGAGAAAGGTTTATGATATTTCATTTCAGGATCATTTATTTAATTTTAAATCCCCCTTTTCTATTATGGCAAAATATATGTAATATAAAATTTATGATATTTACCCTGTCATATGCAATTTATTATTAAAAGTCGTTATGTCATTCCAAAAACACTACTGCCAACTGTCTCCAGAATTTTGATCAAATATTTTAAGATATGGTTAATATTTTTAGGAAAAATCATGTATCTTATAATTTTTCTCTTCTGCTCATTTATTGAATTATTCATAAACAGTAACAATGTAACTATAGAATCTACTTGATTTCTACCTCTACTACTTTTGATACTTTAAATTACAGAACCCTGCCCACCTCAGAATTCATATGGAGAAACCTGATAAAGATTGCCCAGTTGTGGATAAATTCTCCAGAAACTTGCTCTTGAATGTATCCCTGTACATTTAGCAGCAAAAGTCTCAAGACTGTGTCCAAAATAAATAAATAAATAAATAAATAAATCTTACTTCCATAAGATATCTCATCTTTATTCTTTTTATAACTTTATTAGATCTGACTTTTTGCAATTTTGTGTACATATAAAGCAAACTTGATTGCTTTCACCCTCTAAGTTCTGCTATACCCTTTACACATTATATGCCACGTTCATGTTTTTATTTTCTTTGGTGACTCAGTCAACCAGAAGCATTTCCAGTTTGGAACAATCTACTGAAACCTAGTGAACTCCATAGAAGCCAAAAACCTGAAGACAATGACTGCTAATGTCTTAATTTTTGTTTCCTGATGCTCAAGTAGCTTTCTTTGCTTTTACAAAGTTCAAGTCAAGTCCCCAAGTATATTCCAATAGCCAATAGATCAGCCAGGTAGATTATGGCAGGACTGAGTCCCACAAGTATATCCCAGATTCAACTGACAACAATTGACTGGCAACAGGCCAAGGCTTAAGTAGGCCCAGTGTAGGCAAGAGTGGTTACTGGGAGTCCATAAT